AAGGTATAAAAATATAGAAAAGAACAAGTAGAGATCAACAGCAACTGAACACAAACTTGAGATTCCTTTCCACAATGACATTTTCCCGAACACCATTAAGGCTGGCATAGAGGTTAAGGAATAAACATGCCATGTTTTTACTTACTTCGAGGAAGCAAAAATTGTAGTGTAATTCGAATATCCCTATGACTTTCAATGTATTGTGGTTGTTGGGTGCCATGGAGTCAGTGGATTGTAACTCATAGTGACAGCATGTGACAGAGTGGAACGGCCCCATAGGATTTCTTGGCTATAATCTTTATGGGAGCAGATCACTGGCTCTTTTTCCCATGGAAACACTGGGTGGCTGTGAACCATCAAACTTTTGGTTCAGGGAAGCCCTCAGGTTTCACAGGGTCAGTGAAAAAGTGTCCTTTATATAATGGCCATACCGCTCAGGCCATGAGCACTCACTCATAGACCCACTCACTATATAGTCTCATGTTCTGGTGAGAAATCACATCACACACCTTGGGTGAAGAGGTCCCTGGGTGGCACAAATGGCTAAGCATTCAACTACTAACTGAAAGGTAGGTGGTTCAAACCCACCTAGATGTTCCTCTGAAGAAACACTTAGTGATCTGCTTCCAAAAGGTCACAGCCCTAAAGTCCTATGGAGGGCAATTCTACTCTGATACACATAAGGTCACCATGACTCAGAACCAACCCCATGACAATGGTTTTTCTGGTTTTACCTTGAGGAAATGGCAGGAGGGGCTCTGTGATTTTCATTTACTTGACTTCTATCTTTTTATCAATATTTTGTCTTATCCTGGTATTTCTTATTCAGTAGAATTAGATTCTTCCATATCTGCATTGTGGTTACTAGTTGGAAGAGCCGATCTTTGAAAACAGTCCTGGCTTCAAATCTCAGCTCTGATACATTATTTGTAGTACCACAAATCACTGAACTTCTCTGAACCCCAGTTTTATCATCTGTCAAATGGCAACCTGAAGATTTGATTGACAGGGAGGTGATGAATCCCAAACGAGCTCATGTATTTCCTTAGACAGCAGCTGTCAGGTCATTTCTGTTGCCACGGCACTGAGATACTGCTCTGCACTAACGGGGCTCAGGCCTTGGTTTTGCCCAGTTTCATTCAGTTTTTCATTTCATTTCGTTAATTTGTTCATACATTCCCTGGCCCTCTGCTAAGCGAGGGACACTCTGCCTGCCCTCTTGAATACCAGTTCTTCCACGTGCCCCCTCTGGGAACATGATGCCTTACTGCCACTTCCCTCATTTATTGCACTTACAAGGCACATTTGGAGCACTTCTATGTTTCATACTGTTATACTGTTTTGAAGTGATCTCCAATTGTAAGTTGCTTTTGTCTTCGTAGTAAGGGTGGCAGAACACTTGTGACCATCAGTTGAGACTTGCTGAGTCAAACTAGGAAAGCTTTACATCAGAGGTAAAATTCTGTACACCACATTTTGTTTGTAGGTAATGAACCTATGTTATCTACTGAGGAAGCGGACAATGTTTCTTCTAACAGAATGCCAGGTGCAAGTTCTACTGTAATAACCCAATGATTAAAAAGAGATAAAAATATGTTTACAATTTGCACTGATAATGAAGTTGAGAAAGTCCTTGATCATGCTATCTCCTGTTTAGAGGTACAGGGCAGCCAACATGGTCAGGTTCTATCAGAGTTTCCCAAGTCCTCTTCCTGATAAAAATTAATAAAAGAACTTTGGAACTAATAAAAGAACAGCTCTAAAATAAATATTCTTTATTGACTTTGGTGGACAAGGTTGGTCTTTTGTTTGGGAGTATGGGTGATCTGGGCATGCTGAAACCTGCTGGGGCATTTTACATTTGAGCTTTGTTTAACAAGAGGGTTGAAGGTCTGTCTCAAAAATTCATGCCCTAAGACTAACAGAACTGACAGTACCTGTGCCCTGTTGGTGGCAGTGGGAAATGGTATGACCATTTTGGAAATGAATTTTGGCATCTCTAAAAATTAAGGAGCCCTGGTGGCATAGTGCATCCCCTTCAATCCATCAATTCTGCTTCTAGAAGTTATCTTACAGACATACTTTACAAAGTACACAAGGGTATTTGTGCTGACATGCTCTCTGTGGCTCTGTTTGTATAGCTCCAAACTAGAAGCCATCTAAACTTCCCCAGTCAAAGAAGGTTGCTTTCATAAAGTGCCTACACCTGGCTATCTCCACTGTCTTGAACAGCAGAGGGTCCATACTTGGCAATGTCCTGACTCTCCTTTTTATTTTTCCAGAGCACCAGGAGAGGTGTCAGTTCAATCCTGGGCTTTCACTCCCCTCTCAGGGCCATATTTTTCAAACAGTTGATATCCAGGGAAATATAAGTTCACAGGAAATGGAAAGGAGCCATCTGAGGAGAGTGAGCAAGCATAAAAGAAAGACAACTAAGCGAATAACGGACAGTAGTTAAAGTTTAATGACGTGAAAAGGCCATGGATGACTAAACCTAAAACCCACCCCATTGCTGTTGAGTCAATTTGACTCATGGTGATCCCATGTATTCCAGTGAAGAACTGAGCTCTGCTGGGTTTTCTTGGCTGTGTTTTATGAAGCAGATTGTGAGGCATTCTTCTGTGGTACTGCTGACTGGGTTCGAACCATCAGCCTTCCGATTAAGTACCTGAGTGCAAACCATTTGCAACATCCAGGGAACTTTATGGGTGAATAATCCTCCCCTCATAATTAACATGGGAAATCCATTAGTGGTTTCAAATCCAAATCACTAGAGTTCTGTTTGTACCCAAGGGGTTGCCATAAGGGCCTGAATGCTACTACAGGCAGTCCCCGGGTTAGGAATGAGATCAGCTCATAAGTTTGTCTTTGTTTGGGTTCCCTAGTGCTGCTCTGACAGGAATATACCACAAATGGGATGTCCTTAACAAAGAGGAGTTTTATTCTCTAACAATTTGGAGGCTTTGAGTCCAAGTTCAAAGTGCCAGGCTCCAGGGGCTGGGTGAAAGCCCCTCAACCTTAGGCTTCAGCTCTGCCTCCTGCTCCTGGCTCACTGAAGCTGGGGGCTTTTCTTCACTCAGACAGCTACTGGCTTCTGAGACTGACAAGCCCAAGGTTGACAAGTAAAAAGGCACAGTCTTGATGTTACCAAACCACACAGCAGGCCATTAATTCAAGTCTATGGAAAGTCCTAAGGTTGGCAGAGCATGGCAGGCTGCTGAACAACGACACAGCTACACACAGGGTTCAAGTGTGCCATAAACTAGAGATTATCCCCAAGGCTTCTCCTTATGTATAGGAAGCGGACCACATCCCTAAGGCAGCTACTCAGTGGCTCACAGTAGATTCCACCATGGAGTTGATTACCAGTCTCATCATGGGGAATACTACATCCAGCTCCCAGCTACTCAACCAGGCCCAGCCAAGTTGACACACAAACTGAACTACCACAGTCTTTAAGACAAAGTTGTAGGTAAGCTGGAACAGGTATAAATGGTTCTTATTTAGTGTCACTTTAGTGCAAGAAAGCAGTCCAGGGGGCGTAGTGGTCAAAGCATTTGGCTACTAAGCAAAAGGTCAGTGGGTTGAAACTCACCAACTGTTCCATGGGAGAAAGCCAAGGCAGTCTGCTTCTAGAATGATTTACAGCCTTGGAAACCCTATGAGGCAGTTCTACTCTGTCCTATAGAGTCACTGTGAGTCAGAATTGACTTGATGGAAGGAGGTTTTAGTGCAAGAAAAGGCTTGAAGCCTTTTCAATGATTTAAAACCTGCACATGCAGCAAGTGAAGGCAGTTGTTGGGAAGAAGTTGTGAGTAAGGACTGGTTCCATTGTTTCAACCAGAACGAAAACCAAGCCTACTGCCATCAAGTTGGAATAGAGTAGAATGGTGCCATAGAGTTTCCAAGACTGTAAATCTTTAGGGAAGCAGACTGCTTCCTCTTTCTCCCGCAGAGGGGCTGCTGATCTTTTGGTTACATCCTAGTGCTTTAACCACTATGCCACCAGAGCTCCTAATTGTTTCAAAGTGAGGGCAAATTTACATAACATTAAAGAGCAAGTATGAGTGGTCAGAGTGAATTCCAGGTTGGATTTACCCTTGATTGCACCATTTCCCCCTTCTGGCTTCAGTATCTCAATAGTAAAACTGAAAGAATGGAGTGACTAGAATACTGGGGGTCAGAAAAGGCCACTGTAGTGGTTCTCAAAGTGTCCCTGGGGCAGCAGTACCAGCACCAGTAGGGAACCTGCTAGAAACGCAAATTCCTTCCTCCCTGCCCTGAATCAGTTATTTCCTTTAGTTTCTTCTGCCAAACAATTAGTACGATGAACACAAGAATAATTGAGTTTCTATCCCCCAAAATATACATATTGCAGAATGTTGAATGGCATTTTGGGATTCAATGGTAGAATTCGCTTCTTCTATACAGGAGACAAGACCTATATGCAATTTCTGGCCAATGGACCCCATACACAGCTACTACCCATCTGCCAACAGAGGCTTGCATATTGCTATGATACTGAACATGTTTTTTGCAGACCTTTCAGACTGAGATGGACTGAGAGGAAAGGCCTGACAATGTACTTCCGAAAGCCAGCCAATGAGAACTCTATGGAGCCCCGTGGTCCAATCTGGGGATGGTGCAGTCCCAGCAGCGTTGCTTTGTGTTGTGCATGGGATCTCCATGAGCAGGGCCAACTCAATGGCAGCCAACAACAGAATGTTTAACATGATTCAACAGGCTCTCCTGACTTCACAAAAACCAGTAAGGTTGGCAGAGAAGAGTTTAACATGCTCAGAAAGGAAGTCACACTTAGATAGCAGGGGCCACAAACTAGAATTCCAGTCCTAATAGTATCTACAGTTTGTCCTTGATTTTGATCCCAGAGTCAAGAGCACATCTTTGCTTACCACCACCCCTAAGATGGCCAGGATACTCACCACAGGCAAGAGCCAGGAGGTGGGTTTGCCAAGTGAGTGCCATGAACATTCCTCCTATTGCAATGCAGGCCAAAGAGCTGTTGAAACCACAAAGTCCAAAGTAGATGTTCTCAAATGGAACTGAAAGGCTGAGCCCTGTTAGAAGAAACAGGAAGTCTTAGAGCTGTGAACTAAACAGCAAGGTGCTCTGGAAGGAGTCAGGATGGGTAGGGCAGTATCCCAAGAATTCCCATTGGTCCCTTGGAAGCAGAGAGTCCAAGAATGGTGTGGAGGACAGAAAATACCTGAGACCATGTACAGGATGGAGAGATACTTAATAGTTTGTAACGAGTCTTCTGCTTACCTGCTGCCATTCCCAGCAGTGATCCTATTGCAGCATGCAGACACATGAGTGGGGAGGACAGTAGAATGGCACACAGGAAAATGCCCCCTGTCCACGGGTTGTCACAGCCATATATCTGACCCACACCCACGGGCAGAGATTTTAATAACTGCAAAAGCAATGGAAAAAAAAAAAAAATAAAACAATAACAAAAAAACGAAGCTGCCTAAAACAACTGAACAGAAACCCACAGGACCCACAGTCACAGAAAATTTTCTCTTAGGTTTAGTGTATCTCATCTTTCAAAAGCAGTGTTACTAATGTTTAAATTCTTTCTCCCTTTTTAGCCTCAGAAAAATCCCAGTCATTGGGAGCTCTGGTAGTGCAGTGCCTAAGGCACTTGACTGCTAACCAGAAGGCTGGAGGTTCAAACCCACTAGCCACTCCTTGTAAGGAAGATGGGGCAATCTACTTCCATAGTGCTACTGCCTTGGTAACCCAAGGAGGGGTCTCTATGAGTCGGGTCCGACTCGACTGCACATAACAACAACAACAACAATTTTTAAATTCTTTCTCTCTTTTTAGCCTCAGAAAAATCCCAGTCATTCATCTGCTTAGGTATAAGGATGGGGGTGCCCTGAGCACGCCTTCCCTAACTGCTCCTCCACTTCCTGACTCCATTGCTTGCACTGACACTTGCCCTTGATCAACAGAGTGCCGGACTTTCATTGGAGCTACGCTGTGGGACTGTGCTGCAGATTTGTAGGAAAAGGTGAGGGGAAAAATTAGCTTTGACCAGTCATTAAAAAGTTTTTTAGACTCTCAAAACATTGGAATAGAACCTATGCCTTATCTTAAGATGCCAAGAAAGGCTACCCTAGAGCTGAGTATTAGGGAGCTCTGGTAGCATAGTGCCTAAAGCACTTAACTGCTAACCAGAAGGCTGGCGGTTCAAACCCACCAGCCACTCCTTGGAAGGAAGGTTGGGCATTCCTACTTCCGTAGTGATACTGCCTCAGAAACCCGAGGAGGGGTCACTATGAGTCGGGGCCGACTCGATGGCAAATAACAACAACAACACAACAGAGCTGAGTATTAGACTCTAATGTACTCTACTATCCAATTAACCAAAAGGATTTGGGGTGTCTTCCAGAGTCAGGGAGCATGTGAGAAGATGATGTGAGCCTTACCTCCAGAGCACTGAGTTCAGACCAGGTGACATTGGGAACAGAGGTTACAGGTGTGAGCAATGTGGCTGGAAAGAAGGGATTGTAATGCCCTGTAGCTGCAAGGTACATTGATAATGCCATGTTGAAAGGCAATGTGAAGACGGGGAGGTCCCATTTGCAGAACACAGAGTTCAGTGCACTTGAGAAGATTGGGCTAAAGACAAAATAGAAGAGAAGAGCACACATGTGATAAGCCATGGGACAAACCAAATCTCTACTATGGAAGGACTGCCTTTCTTTCATCTACTAAGATAGCCCTAGTGTTGGGAAACTTCCCACAGAAAGAAAAGCTGGGATAAATTCTGTCATAGAGAGTACTTCTTATAGAAAGTTTTTTTTTTAAAAAAATTCTCAGCTTATTTTACTTCTGGAAAATTATACCCTGGGCTTGCTCAGAGTGAGTTATATATCAATATATCAAGATTTTAAAAATAATTTTGAAATATTTAAGACATAGTTGATGAAATATCTACATTGTACTTTCATTGTATTGTCTACTACTTAATCATAGCACTAAGAAGCTCTGGTGGTGTAGTGGTTAAGGTATCAGCTGCTAACCTAAAGTCAGTGGTTCGAACCCACTAGCTGCTCCATGGGAGAAAAATGAAGCAGTCTACTTCTGCAAAGATTTATAGCCTTGAAAACCCAATGAAGTCACTGTGAGTCAGAATCGACTCAATGGCAGTGAGTTTGGTTTGGTTCGGTTTGATCCTAACACTACTTGATCATAGTCCTTCCCTCCCTACTGGAGGTAAACACAATCTGATTCTCAATTTGGTGTATATCATTCCCACCTGCCATTAGTGTATCTAGTTTTGGAAAAGAGAAACAATTGTCCAAAGGAGGGAGCAGGTGGCATGGGATGGAGGAAAAAGATCTTAAACTTAGGAGGGCAGAGTTTAACTCCTTGAGTTGTTGATAAACTATGTGACCTTGGGCAAGGCACTTCCCCTCAGGTACCTTATCTATAAACTGAGTGACTGGATTAAATGGTGTTGTTGGTTGAATTATGTCCCCCCAAATGATATGTTCAAGGAGCTCTGGTACTGTAGTGGTTAAGGCATTTGACTGTTAACCAAAACATCAATGGTTCAAATTTACCAGCTGCTTTGCATAAGAAAGATGAGGCAGTCTGCTACTATAAAGATTTACAGCCTTGGAAACCCAATAGGAGTCTCAATGAATCAGAATTGACTCAATGTCTGTGAGTTGTTTTGGTTTTAAAAGATATGTTTACCTTCTATCTCTAGGTACCTGTGAATGTGACCTTATTTGAAAATAAGCCTTTGCAGATGTAAGCAAGTTACAATGAAATCACACTGGGCCTTAATTCAGTGTCTGAATTAAGGTGTCCTTCTTAAAGTGTCCTTTCAGAAGAGGGGAATTTGGACACAGAGACCCACAGGTCAAACACCACGATGTACCTATAGAGGAGGAGATTGGAGTGATGAAAGTACAAACTCGGGAACACCAAGAATTGCCAGCAACCACCAGACCCTAGGACGAGGTAAGGAAGTATTCTCTCCTAGAGCCTTCAGAGGGAATGGGGCCCTGCCAAAACCCTGATTTCAGACTTGTGGCCTCCACAACTGTGAGAGAATTAATGTCTGCTGATTTAAGCCATTTGGTTTGTGGTACTTTGTTAAGGCCCCTAGGGAACTTAGATACATGCCCCTGGGCCCCTTCTGTAGCTTTACTTGTTGACCTAATCAAGGAGCATCATTATAAGATTAAACCAAAAAAATCAAACTCACTGCCATTGAATTGGAAACGACTCATAGTGACCCCTCCTTGGGTTTCCGAGGCGGTATCACTATGGAAGTAGATTGCCCAATCTTACTTCCTTAGCGATGCCACCTTGGAAACCTGAAGAGAGATCACTATGAGTTGAAACCCACTCGACAATAGTGAGTTTATAGTAAGAAAGAAATGTTTGCTTCTAGAAAAAGGATTTTGGACTGTGTCAACATATAGAAACTAATCTAAAGGGTTCAGATGAAAAAAAAAAATATTGACTCAATATTCTTTTTGAAGGGAGCAAGTGGGAAGAAATGTTCACATAGGCACCAAAACCAAACCCAACCCACTGCCACTGAGTTGATTCTGACTCATAGTGACCTCCATTGGATTTTCTAGGCAGTAAAATTTTACCTAGAAACAGACTGCCTCATCTTTCTTCTGTGGAGCAGCTGGTGGGTTCAAACTACTGACCTTTTGGGTTAGCAGCCAAATGCCTTAACCATTGCATCACTAGAGTTCTTTCATATAGGCACAGTGGTTCTCAAAGTGGGTCCCTGACCAGCCAGATCAGCGCTACCTGGGAACTTGTTAGAAAAGTTAGAAATTACTAGGTCTACTAAATACCCTGAAGCAGAAATCCTAGGGTGGGAGCAGCACTCTGTGTTTTAATAAGCCCTTCAAGTAATTCTGATACATCTTCAAGTTTAAGGAACACTCAGGTAGGGAGTGTTTCTCAATTTTAGGGCTGTACTTCAGGATCACCTAGGGAATTTTAAAAATCCTAATCCCCAGATAATACTCTGGAACAATTACATCAGAATCTTGGGGTGGGGAGAGGGCAAGGTGGGGGCCATATGCTTTGATGTGTTTTAATGCTCCCCAGGAAAGTTAAAGTGCAGATGTTAATGTGCAGTGGGAGGCGATGGTAGGGATTTTTGAGCCCCCCCCCCAGGAGGAGTCCTTGTAAATGGTTAATGTACTTAGCTGCTTATCAAAAAGTTAGAGGTTCAAGTTCACCAAGAGGCACTTTGGAAGACCTGGTGCTGTACTTCCAAGACACCAGCCATTGAAAACCCAAGTGAGCATGTTTCTTCTCTGACACAAAGAGGATCACCATGAGTTGGGAATTGACTCAACAGCAACTGGTACTGAGGTTAAGGGGAAGGTATGGGTGGATTTAGTAGAGAGATCAGACATAAGGCCAAATAACTGGTTGTAAGGGAATTTACATATTTTAAAATCGTTATTTCTGGTTCCAGCAGACATAACCTAATCTAAATTTTTAAATAAAGGCATTTTGAAAACCAGGTACAACTTACCAAGTCATGGATATGGCAGATACGGGGAATAACAGCCACCAGAAGTAGTTTCCCTTGTCTGAAAAGACAGCTATGAGTATTCCCACCAGTGTAGCATTGTAGCCTTGGAGCCCTGCGGCTATTGATGACCTGTGGGTGAGAGGCAGAGCATGGACATGTCTGGGTGGACTTCAGCTGACCTTGCATAAAAATCACACTTGTAACTTCCAGTTCATTCTCATAAGAGACAATGAAATTATATTTGGAAATTTATCCCAAGGATTATGTAAGCATATAAATATGAATAAATAAAATATACATTGATAAAAATACAAATGTGCATAGTAACCCACCTTCCACAGTATCACAGATAAAGACAGAACTCTAGCATCTAAGGGGAGGAAAGAGAAATTAGCAAGACAATGTATTCTACTTCCTTTTAGTCTTTCCTTCAGAAAGTTATTATTATTTCTTTTTATCATTAAAAGGCTCTCTGGCAGTGCAGTGCCTAAGGGATTTGACTGCTAACCAATTGGTTAGTGGTTCATACCCACCAGCTGCTCTGAGGAAGGAAGATGGGGCTATCAACTTCGGTAGAGATTTATCGCTTCAGAAACCCAACGGGGATTGCTATGAGTTGGAATCGACTTGATGGCAGGGGGTTTTTACATCATTAAGAGCTTCTGCCTTGAATAGTGCTTTTATATAGGAACTGTTTTCCTAAGTTTAATTTCTTGGTGAGAGATATTAAAAAACCCTACTGCTATTGGGTCAATTCTGACTCATAGAGACCCTTTTTGGGTTCCTGAGGTGGTAAATCTTCACTGAAGTAGATTGCCCCATCTTCCTTCCACAGAGCAGCTGGTGGTTTTGAACAACCAACATTCTGGTTAGCAGCTAAATAAGTGCCTTATCCACTATGCCACCAGAGCTCTTAGGGAGATGTAAGACACCTAAAATGTAAATTCACTTTCATAGTATCTTTGACCTTATAAACATTAATCTTAGAATTGAGTATATATTTTCATTTTCTTATGATTCCATTTTATTTTCTTCAAACATACATTTTCAAGTTATCACAAAGAAAAACAAGTTTACTTGGCAAAGTTACTCCCATTTAATTACGTGGATATTTAACATCTAATTCTTTCTGCTCAATATTTAACCTCATTTATGAAGGTTATCCTACCGGTAAGTTTTTACTCATGGCCAGAATGGTTCCTATTTCATAATTGGAAACTAGAAGCTCAGAGTGAGAAACGGAATGATTCCTGTAGAATAAGCCACAAGGCGGATGAGCTAGCTGCCCCAAACCAGTGCTCTGAGAGTTGGCAATGTCTGGTATCAGGAAGGGTACAAGTCGACTTCCCAAGAATCCAGCACTCAGCAGACCATGTCTGCAGGGGCCATGGATGTGTGAAGGTGGTGAATTGTGTGGATAAGGTCAAATGCATGGCCTTAGGGAGACATGATAAGTGCCAGGAAGCCTTGCAACCCTGAGATAATACTAAAGGCATGAGAGCTTCTTGGCTGTTTTTAACCAGGGACAAGAGGCAACAGTGCAACTGGCAAGATGATATCAGGAACATTCATCTGGGCAAGAACACTAGAGGTGGAAATCCCTGCTCAAAAGAACTTTGTCTCCTTTAAATAATTCTTCCAAACTTGTGGGAGGTGATGCAATTTGTATTGCTTTAGCCTCTAACTCTCTCACTGACATCGAGTTGGTCCCGGCTCATAGCGACTTCTCCTTGAGTTTTCGAGGTGGTATCTCCACAGAAGATTGCCCAGTCTTCTTTCCGAGGAGTGGCTGGTGGGTTTGAACAGCCAGCCTTCTGGTTAGCAGTCAAATGCCTTAGGCACTATACCACCACAGCTTCCTAGTTTAGCCTAGGAAATGATAATGGAGTCCCTGGGGGACACAAATGCTTAAGGGCTGGACTACTAACTGAAAGGCTGGTGGTTAGAACCCACCCAGAGATTCTTTGGAAGACATGCCTGGTGATCTGCTTCCAAGGGGTCACAGTCTTGAGAACCCTATGGAGCAGTTATATTTGTACCCGTGGGGTCTCCATGAGTTGGAATCTACTTGATGAACTCTTCAGCAATTGGGATTATACATGATGAGAGTGAAGAGCTATGCAAAGACTTGTCCTCTCCACAAGTGAGTTGGCAATTTAATGCCCAAGTTTGTTCAATGGCAAACGCATGGCACTTTCTATAGCTCGTGAGATGCCATGATTAAAGAAATAGGAAGATGGACATTCACTTAATACAGTCCTTTGAGACCAAGGAAAGTAAAAAGAGATTTGAAAATTAACACATGTAAATGTGACTTGTTTTATAAATAATGCCTGATAAAGAAAATGGGGTCAACTTTCATTGGAGCATAACAATGAAGAAATATTTAATAATTCTAGTTCACACCCCAAACTGGAAGATTGTCAGTGCTCATTGAAATAGGGTTGAACTTAGGATACAAAACCATCCTCTTTAGGGAGCAGATCAGGGTCCTTGGACCTGATGGTAAAGAGGAACATTTGCTGATTCTCTACTTGAGAACTCCCTTAGGCAATTTGCAGTAAGTGTTACAAGATCATAGCTGCACAAGGGCTATCCATTGGTGATTATTCCTTGATCTTGGACACCAGGAATTAGTCAGGTGCCATCTACTCCCTTGGAGGGAGTCAGCTCAGTACTTATTAAATGATAGATCAGTTTATGAAGTACATGCTATTTTTACCTAATACATATTTCAGATGACACACACAAACTCCCTAAGTCGAAACCCGCTAACTTGGAGTTTATGGTTATCTATCTCTATAGAAGCTGAGCCTAACCTTTGCACTATCTATGAAAACTGAGTTTGCTAAACTAATTGTGGAAACATGATAATGAAGGTTATTAAGCTACTAAAACTTATCATAAACTCGTACATATTTTTGCCCAAACAAACAGAATGCTGATGATAAATAATTTTATCAATCAGTAAAGAAGAGCCTTATGAAGCCTCTCCTCACAGAACCAGCTTAGTTCTGATTACACGTCCTGCCAAAAGAAGCAGGCATCATTCAGACTGAGCACTGACTCAGGCACCATGAATAAAGACTACAAATGATTCCATGACCTCTGACTGAGGGCAAACATAAAGAGTTCTGTGGAATAAAGGTTTCTCCTGAGAAAGGTGTGGTGTTACCATTCAAACCACACTTGCTGCTTTGTCTCCTACCTGTCTTGACTGAGTAGCACGGCTGTCAGAGTAGAGACCACAGTTCCCACACAGCCATTGAGAGCCCACCAGGGGTTCTGGACCAGAAGTCCCACCAGAATCAGGATTCCACTGATGGGGTTGCTGACAAACACCACTTGGGATATGCCCCGAAGAATCCAGTCGATGAACTGAAGCACCACAGGCTTGTCTGGAAGAAATGAGACAGGCAGACCCAAGGAAAGGTCCAGCCAATGATGTGCCTTCCCAATACGAGAACTGGCCCTGAGCAAAATCATCATCACAGTTACCTGTAATCAAGGTGAAACCTGTTTTGATGGCCTTTAAGCTTTTTCTCTCTGAACTTTTTGCCTTAGTGGCTCCCAGATGCCTGAAAGCATTCAGTTTCTTTATGTTCAACCCACCCTGGCCTTACTAAAACCTAAACTCCAGAAAGCAGTCAATGTATTTATTTACCATGTTCAGAGGTACAGACTCTGAAGCCAAAGGAATAGATTACTAGTAGTAAAATTTCATTTATTCAGCACTAAAATTACAGGTTTGAGCCAGATGTCTTCCCCTAATACGAGCAAGTCCCTGGCCCTGACTATTGAAGATTTTTGCAGGAGAGTAGAAGATGAAAAGTAGACTGACGGGATCGAAAGAGATAGATAAAATGTTGGGGGATGTAACTAAAGATATAAGTAAAAAAAATGAATAAACTACTCCTCACAAAGCTGCTTCTACCATCTTCCAAGGGATGGAAGACAATTACCTTTCAGCCAGTCAGCAAATTCTCTCATATCCCCAGTGATGTAGCCAAGTGTCTTGGGGAGGCACCTTCTGCCTTGCCATGGAGAACGGTGGTCCACTTTAACAGCAGTGGGGCTGTCTTCCATGGCTATTTCTTCCTCTGGCTCCTTGAGGAAAGAACAGAGCTCATAAGCATCCCATGTGTCAAACACTCCAGACTGGTCAGCTTTAGGCTTGGTCACAGTAGCTAGAGAAGATACTTTAAAGATTTTTCATCAGGACCATGGTATCCCATGGGACTAAGAAAGCATCATTTTCCTCTTGAAGTATCGTCAAACAGATTATTACCTTAATCCAAATCCTACCCCAGCCTTGTCATACTTCTATGAGAGGGTTCTGGTCTTTTATTTCAGGAAGTTCAGTTTCTAGTTGAACAAACCTTTATTGAACACCTACTTCCTGCACTTAAGGAGCTCAGTCTCTTGGAGAGGACTGAGAAGGAGTTCATTACAACATAATGAGTCAAAGAATATGATAGAAAGAGCTAAGACCAACTTTAATTTTCATGCTCTTAATGAGAGGAACAAGAAATCAGTAGCAAAACGGTTTACTTTCAAGAAAAGCAGCCTTGCAAATTAAAATTTCAATTTACAAGCAAGCATTTTATTTTCAAGAACAGTTTGTGTGTGGAATACAGCCTAAGAAAACTCCCTCACATTCTCTAAGTGAAACGTTACTTGAATTGGTCCTTAAACCATACAACTGCCTCAAACACCTGTTATTCTTGGAATTTGCTGTTTAAATATTGAAAAATAGAAACGAATGATATTCCATAAAGGTATAGAACCTGGGAAAGGTGAAAGTGAGCAAAGCTGTTGAAAATCAAAGAGCTGTAACATAAGGATTGTATGATATATGGAACGAACAGGGCATAATTGCAATGAGCATGTTTTTGGAAAATACTAAGGACATAATCATGAGTTGTGCTCACCAGGCTATTATTCACTTCTTATGATAAGCATGTAACAGGAAAACCCCAACATCACCAGAATCTGGTACCCAGTACACAGAGAATGAATGTTTTATTGTACTGATGGTAAATACAAAAACTCCTGATAGTGAAATCCCAGTGGTAGGCAGAGGACGAGGGACAATAGCAAAACAACCTTGAGTGTGCAAGAAAAGCAGAGCACAGCCAGGTAAGTAGAGAGTAGAGAAAGAGCAAAACCTTCAGACCCTGAAGGCACAGCTGTGGGACGCTGAGGCTGCAACCACATAAGACAGAGCCAAGGCAATGCCCAAAGCTCACGCAGATATACCAGCTCGCCTTCTCCCTGTGGCAAGGCTCTGAACAAGAGTCCTCATGGCCGTTTTTGAGTTTTGGTCCCATCATTGTTCCTTTCACCATAGTCAACAAAGTCATGCAATATATGTATTTTTTTATGGTAAGTCTTGATGCTAGTTTTGCTCTTATTAATTCCAGGGCAGAAATCAAATGCAGGTAGCTGATTTTTTAGTAATGAACCACTGAACTTCAATTATATGACTTCAGTGCATAATTAGCCATCCTGTTTTAAAACAATAGTGAACCATTAATCATTACACAAAGTATGAGCTATTTATATAATGCAGTCCAGAGCAAGCTCATTTTTTCTTTGCAAATCAACGTTAGACAGCAGCATTTGTGAGTCTTTTAATGAATCTTTGCTTTAAGAAATTCTTAAATTTAAAACTGCTGGAGATCAAGATCAAAACTAAGTCCATACGGAGCTCAGTTGGCTGCATAGTTAAGCCTGTAAAACTGTTTGAATAATTAAGCAACTACAAAAATTTGCCTTTTACTTCATAATCTGTCTAAATGATGGCTATCATCTATTTTCAGGTGTCTCCCTCTTTAAACCTCATAACTGAAAATGCTACTTGGTCAGTCCCTTCCTCAGCTACAGTGACTTATTTTTCAAAATCACATCAAGTTACGAGAAGCATCAGGCATCAGTTGAGTCAGTGACAAGATACTAACCACCTGAAGTTTCTATAGACAGAACAAGCTCTAGAGAGGCAGTCTGACATGAAAACATTAAAATGGCCTTTTCCATTAACTACAGGAACATTTAGGTACACGGGCCATTCTAGAATAAACAAATTCATGTGATCAAACTTTCAAGCAAACATTTATTTGCACAGTTTTAAATACTCGATCACTTCAGAGATTTTGGAGATACTGATATGAAACCCAGTAAGATAACTGGCCAAACATGACTGAGAACCTGAATGACCTGAGTCTCTTGCTGAACCACCCAAAGTTAAATAAATGTTAGATTGTTTTTATCCATATCCACAGCCTGACTTAGGGAAGGCATATGGCAATTTGTGTCTCCAATATTCATGTCTTGAGATGGGTTGTAGGGCTATGATGCCCTAGAGATAGGGGTCTCCTTATGACTCCAGCATATAGTTGGCCCAACCCCTACCAGTTGCCAAGTCAATTCTGACTCATGGCAACCCCATATGAATCAAAGTAGAACTGCTCTCCGTAAGGTTTCCATGGCTGTGACCTGCTTCCAAAAGACATTTGGAAGCAGATCTCCAGGTCTTTATTCTGAAGCACCTCCAGGTGGGTTTGAACCACAAACCTCTCAGTTAATAGCTAATGCTTAGCCATCTGTACATGAGCCCATTTTTCTGGACTATGGCATCTTTGGGGCCCCTGGGAGCACTAGCCACTTGCTCCACCTTTTGAGAACTTAGCTATGAGAACTGGACACGAGAAATGAATATTTAAAATTGTAGTTCAAGCAGCTCTGGTGGTGTAGTGGTCAAGGCATTTGGCTGTTAACCAAAAGGTCAGTGTTTCAAACCCACCAGCCACTCTGTAGAAGAAAGATGAGGTGGTCTGCTTCCACAAAGATTTATAGCCTTGGAAACACAATGGGTTGCTATGAGTTGGAATCGACTCAATGGCAAGGAGTTTTTTGAGAAGTTGTAGTTCACCCTAGAGTTTTCTCATAGTAGAATATTTTCATTTCATTAGGGAACCCACACATCCTAATTGGGAAGCCAGTGCTAAGGTATTGAGCAAGGACCTTTCACTGATGGAAATGTTGAAATCCCAACAAAGTGGGCCACTAAATCTCAACAAAGAAAAGCAGACAATAAAGGGAAGAAACTAACAAATTAGAAGCTGGATAAATTTTAAGCCCCAGGCTATCTTTTCTAGCTTTTCCATGGCCATCAAAACCCTGCAGCTCAACAGTCCAGCATCCAGACCCTCAAGATGGATGCCATGTGACCTTTTGGACCAAGACCCTTGTGTATCTAGCTCAACCACAGCCACACCGCTCAGCAGAGCTTGCTGACTCCTGCTTCCCAGGCTTGTTCAGAAAAGGCACACCAGCTAGAAGCTCAGCCTCGAGGTTCCCCAGTGCTGGAAGGGGTACGAAGGCATCATACCTGTTTGTCCAGCCCATAGGCAAGGGCCAAACTTAGCCGGCCGAAGCCTCTGCGTGTTGCCTCTGCTTTATTTCCAAGAGGGTCCATCCAAAGAGGACCGTGAGAGGTGTCACCAGCACCGCCAATCAAAGATCGTCCATTCTTCCTTCCTTTCTCTCCGAACATGACAAAGGGCAAAAATATGTGAATCAGCAGGATGTGTATCCTGGCTGAGATGAGCACATGAAATGCAAGATGGAGGGAGGCAGGAGTGTGCCCACTGAATTCCTGATGAGATGTGGTCCCTGAAGGAGACCTCTAAGGCACAATGTGGCATCTCCATCAGCAACGAGCTTGCCAATGGAAAGAGACAATAGATTTTGTTCTGCTGCATTTCTCCACTAGCAGCAGGTTGTCAGATCTGAAGCCTGGCCCCAAAACACTTAAAGCAAACCATTAGGGCTGCAGCTTGGGCACTAAGACCAGTGCCACAAGTTGGCCCAGTCTTGTTCTTTATGAAATGTGAGAACAGGAAGAGAAAGCATGGACTCGATTTTCTGTGATAAGATACTGGCCATGCTTTATGCACAACAAAAGCCCAGTCCAAGACTCTGCAAAATGGCATTTTTTCTTTCATTTGCGTAAGACTTCTTAAATATTGGAGATTATCTTATTAACAATAACTCTTAGTTGAATTCAACAACTCTCACAGCTTCTCATAAGTTTCTTTTTTTTTTTTTAACCTTTGTTGCATCTAAGGATATCATTGTTCCTTCAGAAATTCCAGAAGAGTTCTATGTGTGGTATTCTCTTATTCGCTGCCCCCCTCCCTTTATTTACTGTATTTCATTTTTACTCTCTTCTATTGGTTTGGTCTGAAACTTGAAAATGTAGATTCTACCAGAGTGCTTTAGAAAAATCCACAATTGTGGAAGAAAATTCTGACAAATCTGAAAAAGCTGTGTGTGTGTGTGTGTGTGTGTGTTTATCCATGGTCAACAATCTATCTACTTATGGACCAGAATATTGTGTCTGGGGGTTGGATTATGTCTATTTTTGTTTGATGAAGAACACTATTAAGAAATTCAATGGTGGGTCTGTCATCTTATACAGGGTGAGAAGAAAGAAAGAGAAAAAAGAATGAAAGAAAAAAAAGGAAAGAGACAAGAGGGAACAGTCACATGTAGAGTAGTCAGTGTAGAGGTCTCCCCCATTCCCTCTGCCCAAATCTCATGCATCTTGGAGAACCACATCCTTGAGGTCAACATCAACATCTTCTTAGAGCCGGAGTAGAAAAAACTTGAAAAGTTTGAGAGGTGGAAGGGATTTGAAAGGCTGCAAAGCTCAAGGCTTCATTGTCTAAAGCAGAAAACTGGGTGCTGAGTGGAGATCAGCTGAATTCACCCAGCAAGCACCAGGCAGAGTCAGTGTGGAACCAGGCACATTGACACTGCCCAAGAATCTGTTCAAATCAACAACCAGTGAGGGAACAGCCGCGTAAGCCAGGGTCTGCAGTAGCTGGCTCAGAGATGTAGGGGACAGAGCGCATCTTCATGGCCACCTTAAAATAACCTTGGGGTGGGGGTTGAGCAATAATAAAAGAATGGGATTGGCCATCCCTAGTTTTCCCTTGAGCCCTCACCAGAGGCACTGGCTCTTCTGACAAACGTGTTCCCATGCCTTCAGTGAGCTTCCCTCTCCCACACCACTGCCCTGCCCACCACAAGGCCTGTGTGTGCTGAAATTAATACCCAAGCATATCCTGGAAGCCCCTGGTGAGCTTTCCAGCAGGTGTTCAAAAGCACTTTTCACAGCACAGATCACTACAGTGAACATTATTTCAGCACAAGACAAAAAGAAGATTTGAATTCCACTAACATTCCCTACTTTATTATACACCATAAAACCCATTCTGTTGTCAGCACATACTAGAAATCTGTACAATTGAAAGCCTTCAATTTTCTATGCTTCACAACTCACTTTTAAAAATAAGATAATGCTTTGGGTATATGATATGAGCATATTCAAACATTCACACTCTGTCATAAGAAGAGGTGGGCAGTGTTGACACTGATTAGGTACTTACAATAATCTTTACTATCGGTCGTTTTTGATTTGAAGTGGCAGGAAGTGATCTGTATTCTTTAAAGCTGTAATCAGAAACACAGAAATCCCATCAGGTGTTCTTGTCTCCAGAAGAAGACACTTCCGTCCTCAGTACACAATGCTCCCAGAACTCTTGAGGTCTGACTTCCACCTGCTGGAAAGTGCAGCTGCAGAGAAGCTGCCAAATTCAGGGCTTCGATGGTGAAAGACTGATGTCCCTGGGTGGTTAGAGCTCAGGTGACGCCCCAGAGACTGGTGGTTTGAACCCACTCAGAGGCATCATGAAAGAAAAGGCCTGGTAATTGCTTCCTTAAAGTTTACAGGCCAGAAAACCCTATGAAACAGTTCCACTCTGCACCCCAGGTGGTCACCATGAGTCAGGATTAACACTTCTCCCAAAGGGTGTTCTTTGCAGACTTCAGCATGACATCGTCATATGCAGAAGAGCCCATAAAACTATAATTGGAAGGGGTCATACCCACAACCCCACCTTCTTCTTTTGAGTCCTATAGATACAGCCTTGCAGCTTTAATTATTTCAAGAACACAACCTGAAACTCCTATACATTGTTGTTGCTGTTAGGTGCCAGTGAGTCAGTTCCAACTAATAGTGACCCTATGTACAACAGAAAGAAAGACTGTCCTGTCCTATGCTAGCCTCACAGTCCTTGCGATACGTGACTCCTACACAGGGTTGATTAACTCAGAGCCACTCAGGACATCAAGTGGACAGACACCTTACTGCATACCCTCCTCCACAGGGGCTGACGTGCTGCTTCCAAAATAATAATTAAAACACTACATTTCAGGTACTGAAAGACACCTCTGGCTTTGGCAAACTGCTTTCTGGTCGACCAGGACTGTTTGTCCCTTCTACTCACTTCTGACAATCTGAAACACATTTATCTATTAAAAGGAACAAACAAATAATAAGGAGCACTGGTGGTGCAATAGTTAAGTGCTCAGCTGCTAACTGACGGTTGGCGGTTCAAACTCACCCAGCGGCTCTGTGGGACAAGAATCTGGCTCTCTGCTCTCATAAAGATTGTTGGTGTTGTGTGCCATCAATTCCCACTCACATCAGCCTTGTAGGACAGAGTAGAACTGCCCACAGGCTCAAGATTACAGCCAGGAAAACCCTGCAGGGCAGTTTTACTTTGTCAGAAGGGGTTGCTATGAGTTGAAAATGGACTGCACCTAACGACAACAACAGAAAACAAAAAGAGGGAAAGAGCAAAAATCAGAGAGGATTAACAAGACAAGCCCCAAGCAATGAGCAGTTGGAAATTACTAGCAACGAGGAGGGTACTCACTCACCCCCCAGCTGGCCTGGTGGCAGAAGGCAGAGCCGATAAAGCCCTCCCGGGAGCTATGGAAAGGGAGAGTGCTCAGGAGCAGATAGTGCTGGCGAGGAGGCACCTACCGCTTTATATTGGAACCCCACTCCGCATATCCGTTGATGGCTTGCCCCTCCCACTCCAGGCACCAGAGCCAAAGCAATGCTGAGGAACTGGTCCCCGTCCTGGACCTGTCCTCTTCGGACACGGTGCCAACCTCTTTGCCACAGTGTCCAGGGCATCCGGGGTCTTTGTCCAGCCACAATCTTGCTTGAGTTCACCTTCTTCTTCTTCCTGCTGTTTCCTCTAGCCCCTACCCTCACCCTCAAATATTTTTCAAAAGAGTTCCAACTGGAAAGGATCAACATAATGTGACTTAAACTAGAAACTTCGGACAGGTTGCTGCAAAGTGCCCAGGAGCTGGAGTTTTCTCTTAAGCTTGGTAACAGCCTCCTCATGAGGTCAGAATCCAGTAAGATCCCCAGGGGCGCAGTGGGGGCCGGGGAGGGGAAGGTGTACACAACTTATCTGTGTACATTGCCCTTTTCCCCAATGAGGAGGAAACACAAATACAATGTTTCCTTGGAACGTCCCTCTGTGCAAGAGAATCCTGGTACAAAACTCTGCAGCCTTTGAAAAGCCTGGAGGCATTCCTATAGCAGGGGGGATCAACAGCTACAGCAAACCATCCCTTCCTTCCTACAGCAAAGCATCCCTTCCTTCCCCGTTCTACTTAAATTTCTATTGTGGATTGCTCTGTTACGGCAAGAATTTAACTAACTCAGTATCTGTCTGTATCCTGCCCTGCTGGATGCTCTGATAGCTCTTGTCTGTCTTCACAAGGCGGCCTGGGACTCTGGCTCCACCCTCTGGACACCTGCCAGACCACAGGGTTCCCAGTCGCCTACGGAGGGACCAGCTCTGAGCTCATCTTCCAGGTTCCCCTATGGCTTAGCAGTGTGCCTCTAGGCCTGAGAGAGAGCCCACAGGGCCCAGGCTCCTGGTTAGAGTTTTGGGGTTCATGCTAGGTTTCTCCTTCTTCTTCTTTTTTTTCTTGGTTAAGTAAGAGAAAATAAACTCTTAGGGTTAGTCTGAAGAAGAAAACTGAGTCACCCAGTCTGACAGCCTAGTATGTGAATAAAGTGAAACATGTCAATGTTTCCATCAGCTCCTACTGCAAACAGACTGCACTTCTTCATGGCAATAAATGACAGATGGGAAGATACTCATAATAACCACCACAAATAGTTCACAGTCACTCTGTGCAGACACTGGGCTAACCCTTTTACACCCTTTATCCATTTAAGGCTTGCTGAAATCCTGTGAGGTAACTACCATTACTCCTATTTTGAAGACGAGGAAACTAAGATTTGGAGAGTCTAAGAACTTGAACAAAGTCTAAAATCAAAGTCTGTACTTTTGACCACTCTAACAACAAAACAGGAGCTCTGGTAGCATAGTGGCTAAGACACTTGCCTGCTAACCAGACGGCTGGCGGTTCAAACCCACCAGCCACTCCTCGGACGGAAGGTTGGGCAATCCTACTTCCGTAGTGATACTGCCCTCGGAAACCCAAGGAGGGGTCGCTATGAGTTGGGGCCGACTCGACGGCACATAACAACAACAACAACAACAACAAAACAAAGCAAAAAACCCACCAAACTCA